TTTGGTGGAGATGTGGAATTTCCAGCATATAGTAGTACAGTAAGTACTGCGTCTAATTTTCTCATTACAGAGGTAATAACTAAAACAGGACATTTACATTGATAATATTGTTCCATAAGAAAATGAATATAAAATTAAATTAGGTGATACTGTTGACAACAATGTAAACAAAACAAAATGAGGCCGTTTACCTAGAGTTCCTCAGTGAGCTCCTGTCTTACACAACTTTCTCATAACAGAAAATGTGTCACGACTAAATAAGGTATTGTAGAGATTTTGTACTTAGTCGTCCAAGCATACAGTCTTCCATTGTTGTTGCCTCTAGTTCCCCTATCCTCAGATGAGATAGATGCAAGGAGAGAGTTGTGTGTGTGTGTGTGTATAGAGAGAGCACGTTCACAGTCTGACAAGAGTTTGCCAGTATTTGCTAATTCTTCGCAGGAGTCCATGTGCCCATCTACAATAGCATTAACGAGTTGGAATAGCAACACCCCACTCACTCTCTCTACTCACTGCTCTTAGTGACATTCGTAGTGTAACAAACAAAGTCTTTCTCGAGTGATCCGAGAAATATTAAGGTGGGGTGAGGAGCAGTAAAGCAGTATGGGCAGAATGCGAGAATCAACAAAGTGTAACAGTAGAGACGGAATGATACCAGATCGTATTAACTTCCTCATATAGAATATCAAACGAAACATCTATCTGGAAACTAATTAACATGATGTGAGGAGACGAGGAAAGGTGATGAGAGGAAATACACAGTAGAAGGTGTTTAACAACATTCGATTTGGTTTCAACCTTAGTGGTATCTATGATAGTGGAACCGTGTGAGGCACACACAGTGCGAGTTTCTGACCTATATAGTAGCACTAACTGGCTGACTGACTGACTTCAATGACACTTGTGTGAAAAATCCGAATCTTATTGTTTATGCTGAGGCGGAGTGAAGTAGAAGATTTGCAAACTGGTCTTAAGTTGATGAAGGCGTCGTATCTCGCCTTTCCGATTCTGACTGAATGGCTGGCTCGTTTCGACATCTTCATCCGTTCCGACGACTGCCTGTGGTTGAAACGATGCTGCTGTCTAGGCTACATAAGTAAAGCAAGAAGTGATCTCTTTCAACCTCCTTCTCCCGTTCATGGTAAGTGGTGCTGCTGCTTATTGTTGTTGCTGTCGCTGTTGATGGTGGTTAGTTACCTTCATCACCTCCATCTCCACCTTCTCTATGCTCATCACCTGGATGGAGTCAGTCCTGTCTTCGCTGCCAGCTAGCCAGCCTCTTCAGCCAGTTTGTTGCCAGTTTTCGCCCGCCTGCTTGCAAGTCTTCCACTTTGTGTTTCTGTTTGTGTGACATTCAACGGCATAAATCATCTACACGCGAAATCCACAACTTCTCTAGTTTCCTCATCGGTGAGTGCAGCGTATTCCTGTCTTCCCAATTACTCACTCATTCACTCACTGCCAAAGCGCGTGATCCAGCCCATCACAGTAACGAATATCACCGTTGGTGATAATAGGCAGGCAGGTAGGTGGACAGCCAGCTTGTCTTACTCCTGTATTCCCTCACTTCAGAGGCAGGCTTCGCTGAGTTTTCCATTGTGCATCACCTGACACGTGGCATTGTCATATAGCCGTATATAAAGACGTGGGCACTCCACGCCATAGTGTTGAATCAGTTTCCGAATAGCTTCTCCGTCAACGCTGTCTGCTGAAGGCCTTCCCGCAGTCGATGAAGTTGTTGAGGTAGAGAGAGTTTTGACTGCCATTTTATGCTTCGTTCTGTGACGATGATGCGTAGCTTAGCAATTTGATCAGCACATGATTTTACCTTCCTGAATCCAGCCGGCTTGTTCAGGTGGGGCTGATGGAGTTCTGCAACCAGTGTGTATTTTACTCTCTCTGTCCAGAATAAGGCGACCTAGTATTTTATTTGGCGTGAACAAGAGTATGAATCCAAGGTAGTTCTTTCAAAGTGAGGCGGAAGTCGCCCTTCTTTGGTAGATTGACAAGGTGGCCAGCCTCTCTTCTAATTGGTAGGCAGCTTTCCTTCCTTCCAAACCTTTCACAATAATGGTGTGAATACATCTGCGGCAGCCTCTCGGTCCGTCTGGTTCTTCTGCCTTCCCGGCAGGTGTTCAGAAGCTTCATAGCACTCAAGATTTGTACTTTCGTTGGACGAATGTTGTCCACTGTCATGCAGTTGTGTGCGTGCTGTCGGCTGTATTTGTGGGCGAGTTGCAGGTGATGGCCAATTTTAGAGTCCATTGAAGTGGTCAACCCATTGTTGTATTTGTTTCTTCTCCTTGGTAATCAGATTCCCCTGAACATCTTTTATTTGTTCCATCATCTGCGTCGGTCTCTTCCAGGATAGAGAGAGGTCTCTTTTCCCTACAGTCTGCCTTCTTGTTCTGCTTCACTTGTCGCCAGCCAGTGTGTTGTAGAATTGTCTTCTGTCTCTCCTCGCACTCTTCTTCCCTTCCTTATTCAGTGCAGTGTACACTGAACTCAGCTTCTCTTTCTGTTGTTCATCTTTGCATTGATGTTTCTATTTCACCGTCGTCTTCTCTTCTATTTACAGAGTTATACATAGGATAACCAAATTAGATTGTACCTCTTTAGCCCAGATTTGTTTACTAAGCTCTAAAAAGATCAAGTGTTTAATTACTGTGCGGATAATAATGAACTGATTGAGTGACTAAAACTTGCAGAGAAACGGAGAACGCTTGACAAGATAACTAAATTGGCCTAAATTGGCATGGAGGAAGTTTTGAGTTTAACTTTTTCCAAACAAATTTTACTCAGTTTTGTAGGATAACTTCTAATATATGTGTAAACTTGGGCACTGTGGATAACTTCTAATTTTTTAAAAGTTGAACAATAGTGAATCTGTGCGTGTATGCCTGTTTGTGTGTGAAATCTGATTCGTAATCTACGCTGGTGTGAGTCGGTGTATCGGTGGTGTCGGTGGAACAATAGTAGAATGCTCACCGATCTCTCGTGTGGTTGGGGGTTCGATTCACCGGCCACCGAGGCACCAGTGATAAGACTGGTAAAGACCAGAGTTTGGGCATGAGACTAGTAATGCCAGTCTGTGAAAATAAAATCACTGCCACCGAAACTTCAAGACTCTAGCTTAAAGGAATACAATAAAACTCTATGCTGGAACAAGATTCTGTTTTCTAAAAAGCAAGTATGATAAATTTTGTCCTGTTATACTTTTGTAAAACGACTGACATTCCCCCTCCTGGATAATTAACGCAGCAGTTAGTCTTTATGTCCAGTACTCCACCAACAAAGCATGAAAAGAAATGCTCAGTGCTGAAAGGAAGATATATACCAAATGCAAGAAGGAATTCACAACTGCTGTCGTCGACTTATAGTATGTCTCTGAAGTGATAAAAGTAGAGTTCGCCGTCTCTTTAGTGTCTGTCAGTAGACTTACCGAAGTCCAAATGACTTTTTTTCTCTTGTATTACGGACGAATTTCTTTGTTCCTTTGAAGTTTTGAAGTTTACTTGTCTCTCTCTGGATAAGAGCCTATAGCACCCCGTTCTTTTTACAAGTAAGTTGGATATGTGATTATGCCAGCTATGCTACTGAAAATACTATCGTTAGTAATATATATTCATTGTAATTATTGTCAATAAAATGTGCACAAAACAAAAACTGTTTCAGATATCGTAGACATTCAGATGGATGCTCGTAAGTTGTTGATTTTACGCATTTTTCATCACTCTACCTCACTCATACTACTTATAATATCTCTTCCTCTAGCTCACTTGACTACTCTCCCGCTATCTCTCTCTCTCTGCCTGTCTATCTGTCTGTCTTCTTCAACCTAAACTCACCACTTCCTAGATGACACCAGTATATACATATATCATCACTGTATACTCTGTACTCAATACAATCTTCTCTTTGTCAACAAGTGCCTTCTTGTCTCATACTACTTACTTCACAGCAATATAACACTCTCACTATTCACACAGAAGCCTATCTATTCCATCCTGTGCAGTTAGTTGTCTCTCACCTCACTGTTTAAAATATACCTAAAATAATCCGTATAATATTGAAAATGAAATGAATTACATCATTAGAAAAGCCGACAGTCACACATAATCTCATGAGTACACACTTACCAAATATATCTGTGTGGTCCAGTATAAATATATGTATATACCTTAAGTCCTAACTCATTAGAGTTATATATATTTATTACTACTTGTATATGTATATGTTTGACAATGCAAACATTAAATAATATGTACATATATATATTTAGAGTACACAATTAGTAACATGCACAAATAGGCCCGTAAATTACACACTGTCTTTGTTATTTTTTTTTAAATTTATAAAATGAGTAACCCAAACCTCTTCTGTGTGTGTTCATGTGTTTGTGTGTTTGTGTGTTTGTGCGCGTTTTCGTAAGTTCGGATGCTCACAACCTGTTTCAACGGAATGCAGCTGGAGACTACTTCTGATGACAGCAATAACATGCACATTTTTGTTAAGTGAATCAAACTACTTTTTAAAATATGAGTAGTTAAAGTGATTTAGCTGAAATAATGGATGTATCAGGGAAAGGTATTGGAAGTAAGTGTTCTGTTTTTCTTTTTCTTTATACGTGTAGCCTCACCATTTGTAACCTCTTCTTTGTTTATATTTTGACTTCATTACTGTCTAATATCTCAATCACACTCTTATCTACTACTACAACTAATACTACTACTATTGCTGCACAATGTGTTTAAGCATGTTGACAGTATATATTATATATATTCATGTATATCTTCTATATAACATTGTACTCATTGTATTGAGTATTATATATATACGTATACATATATATAACATTTTCGCTTTATTCTGTTGTCCAAGCCTACTACTCATGTCCCATCAATAACTTTTCTGCGCTGTTTAACTAAAAGTACATCTTTCTTTTCTATTTCTCTTTTCCCCCTCCCCACCAAAAAAAAAATCAACAACACAACAAACAGTTCCAACTGCACCGACCAATTTTCGTGGTGTATCTATAAAACCAACGAACATCCATTTAACATGGACACCGCCAAATATGCCAAATGATCAGAAACTACTCGGTTACAAGTTAAGATTTCGACCAGCTAGTACAAATAGTCTAACCAAACCATTAGATTATACACAACAACAACAGCAACAAAATGTCCAACAAAGTACAAAGGCCTTAGTCACCGAAACACGTGATATTGATGCAGACGCTACACAATACTTGATGACTGATCTAGAACCAAGTACACGGTATTATTTAAGTTTGGCTGGTCAAACTGTACACGGTTATGGAGTCGCGGCACAGATTGAAGTACAAACTAATGACTATCGTAAGTTGTGGTAAATTTATGCAAGTTTCTGTTTTATTCCCGGTGTCTACTATTCTCTTCTGATTTCGCACAGCTTATCAGTTAAATGAGTCCTTTGTCTAAGGTTTTAATGCTATTTTAAATATACGAAACTTTAGTTTCTATTGTGTGTCGGTGATGCAAATGTGGAATGCTAGCCAGCCATTCAGGTGGTCCAGGGTTCGATCTCGCGCCGACTTACTTCCAAACATCTCTCAGCTGATAATAAGCCCGGCAAAGAGAGTAAGGTTGGGCGTGAGACTAGCGATTTCACCCCGTAGAAATGAGACCACTGTTGCCAAGGCTTCAAAGCTCCAGCTTGCATAGGGAACGCAACCGAAACGACTGAAAGTTAATTTTGCCAATGTTAATCTAGTTTCCTATTCAAGTGTTGCTTTGTAAGGATTCAACTGATTCCAGTGTGTAGACTTCGTCATCAGCTGATATCATATAGAGAGATGTTATGATTTCGACATATTTATATTTCCTAATAACACTGAGATTTAAAAAAGTACACTGAGTTCGACAGAGACCCGCGGATCATGAAATATCGTTGGACTACACCAATAATATTAACATAAGAGCTGGCTGTTCCCTGGCCTGTTCTAATTAAGCTAGAGAACATAGTATATTTCTGTTATTACTTATTATTCCCTTGGGTTCCGAGAGGAATGTAAGCCTTCAACAACACACCTCCACTCTATTCTACTTACTACTGTCCTCTACAGCTGGGTTCAAGAATACTACATCATCTCTTCCTCCCTCCAACTCACACCATCTCCCCCATGTCACGATAGCACCAACCACTCACTCATCGCTTCCCATTCATCAAACTGGTTGCTTCTTTTTTTATAATAAGAATTTCTGTGAAAATAACTTTCTGATTGACATAGAATTTCTCTGCAATTAAGAGTGTTCTCTAAGCTGATTGGTTTAGTTGCGGAGCTTTCGTCGTCCCCTTCTGGACAACATCCCCCTTCAGCGCAATATTTAGCATTAAGTGAAATGATTTAAATTTATTCATGAGTGATAGATAGAATTGCGTCTCCTGGTTACCATCTTTACATTGTATGTATTGACCATTTTCCATTGACTTGGATTGTAAACTTTCTGGTAACCTGATTTACTTTTTATTAGGTGGTTTATTTGGTCTATATATTGACGTGTTTGTTAATTGCATTTTCGTTTGAGTACCAGGCTTCTAGGAATTCCCTGACTGCACTTTTGGTGCTGTTTCCTCTGTCTAAGATTTCCACATTATCCCAATCAATGCATATAAACAATTATGGACATCGATTTGATTGGGATAATGAGGAAATCTTAGACAGAGGAAACACCAAAAGTACACTCAGGGAATTCCTAGAAGCATGGTACTCAAACGAAAATGCAATTAACAAACACGTTAATATAGACGAAATATATCAACTAATAAAAGTAAATCAGGTGATCAGAAAGTTCAAAATCCAAGTCAATAGAAAGTGGTCAATACATATGTAAAGACGGTTACCAGGAGACGCAATTCTATCTATCACTCATGAAGAAATTTAAATCATTTCACTTTATGCTAGATATTGCGCTGAAGGGGGATGTTGTCGAGAAGGACGACAGAAGCTCCGCAACTAAACCAACCAGCTCAGAGAACACTATTAATTGCAAATCATCCACCTGAGCTACAAATCTTCTCTATTATAGAGTTTCTCTGTAGCAAAAATTTAAAAAAGCTAGTCTGCTAGATTATCGATTCTCGCATAATTATCAAATATTTTCAACCATTTCTTTCTTCATTTACCAACATCTCTGATCAGCTTTCGATCTACCTAGACCAAAAAATGTCCACCTACGTACACTGACAAATGTCAGTGCAAAAATCTGCTGGGATCAACCAAATCTGCCTGAGTTAATGTACTCTATAATATCCTATGAGTTGTTATTCGGTCTATCAAATGAAGCCAGCAGCCCATTGAATGCCACCGGGATAATACCGTTGCCACAGTCAATCTGTTGTTGTTTCACCCTACTGCATTTACGCCCCGGTACTGATTATCGGATATGGTTACGTCTGGCTAGTCACAGAACTCTACCGAATACAATGGCTAGCAAAAACACCGACAACAAGAACAATAATGGATTATTGACGAGTAGAACCAATTCTCCTTGGTCATCAATTGATTCCAAGAATAAGATTACTGGTCCAGTCTCTGAACCACAAGCTTTCCGTACATTATTTACCAACGGTGTGTGATTGTTTCCTTAGATTTATAGATGCTTCTGCGCCCCGCTTGCCCTCTGCTGACTGACGCTATTTGCATGTCAAAGCGATGATGGATGCAATGCATTCTGTTGATTTTTTTATTCCTGAACTGCATGTATGAATACTGGCATGAATCAGAATTTTGAGAGCATGCGACACATGCAATAATTTGCTGCTGACAGTGAAACGCTACGTTTTTTTCACTGTAGAGATGACGAACTATCCACATGTTTCAGGCTCGATTCCCAGCTGACGCAATCTTAAATTTCTTGCCTAACTTACTAGCTAAACTGTAAGCCCAGTAAAGAGGAAAGGGTGGGTGTAAAGCTGGCGATGATACCACTGTTACTAAAACTTTAAAATTTAAAGCCTTCAGCTGGCTTCCATATTCAATTGAAACATAATTCCTCTTACCAATAAAGCCTGACAACAGTAAATGACAACGATCGCATAACAGTATTACCCTCTTTAGTGATGTAATCGAAATGCAGTTACCAAGGGAGTGCATAAGTTTGGTTTGAAATGTTTTATTGCAGTTGCTTTAGCAATTTACTGTCCTATGTATATTTAATATTTTGAAGGGTTTATAAATCTCGAAGAAATGACCCGTATCCACAGGCGGTCGGGTAATTGCCCTTTGCGAATACTTGCTTCCTTTTAGACGCAAGTTTCTTGAGATATGTTCTGAAAACAGAGGATGGAAACCCTTCTTTCTGTCCTTCCAATGAATCTGTTCCCTCAAGTGCAGGGTACTAATCTAGTTGGCAATGACTTATAAAGCATATGATGCTGTATAGTATTACTACCTTAGCGTCAGAGAAGCATCTTTTTATTGCTACCTTCATTCTCTTGTCAATTTTTCTGTGATACTGTTTCTCCTCTAAAAATGGTTGATAAATGAACACTTTCTTCTTTTCAACCGTTGGATGTTTCATTTACCCGCCTTTTTCTTTGCTGTACTTTTGGATAAATCCCTTTGGATACCTATTCTCCGGTAGGTATATCTCAATAAGGCTTAATTCTTCTTCCATCTCGTTAGGCGAGCATAACTTCCTGGCTCTGTCGTACAGTGTCCCTACTGATCCACGCTTACAGTTTATAGGACAGAAGGTATTTTTTGTTGTTGTCCGGTCAAGGTTTCTTTTCTAAAGACTGACTTTTTGATCGTATTATCGATTCTTATTCTTACATTAAGATCCAGGAAATTGAACTCATCATCGTCATTATGATCATATTTCATGGTGAATTTAATGCTTGGGTAGATGTCATTGGTTGAATATGTCATGTGATCAGCATGTCAATACCCCCCGCAGAATGTTCAAATTAGTCTTCGTTTGAGACAGCTTGCTATCATTGTTACAGTAGCATTTTTGGATTTGTTGCTTTGCTGATAATAATAATATTTATGACAACATTTCAGTCTGTTTTCAAATATATTGTATGTGTGTCAGTTACAGTTATGCAAAAAAGTAAGTCTCACTGTCAACATAACGTTAGACTGTGTATACTTTGCCTATTCACGGAGTTCTATAATATCATTCTATAAATTTGATCAGAAAACGGGGGTAAACATTAATGCCGAATAAAATTATTATATTTATTAGTATTTCCTTGGGTTCCGAGTGGAACATAGGGCTTCAACAACACATCTACACTTTATTCTCTGCTCTCCTCTTCATCCGGCTAGCCCCACAATCGCCCATAAGCTTTTATCTCCTCCTTCCTCCAACTCACACAATCTCCTCCATGTAACCCTCGCACAAACAACTCACTCTTCGCTTCCCATTTGAATTCCACTCGAGCGATGGCCTGCATTGTGCACGATATTATTCGACAGCCTCCTTCCTCAGCATATGCCCAATCAATCCATTTTCATTTTTTCCTGCATATTTGTTGAGCTAATTCTTTCTAGCCGGCTGGCCGCCTGGCAATTTCATCTTCAACATAGAGATAGACAGTGAAAATGGCAGCTGTTGATAACAGTCTGTAACTGGCTGTTGGAAGTGCGCATGCGCAGTGCAAGTTTTTGACCCAAATAGAAGCATTAACTGACTTCACTAACATTTGTGTTGAAAATACGAATCTGGTTCTTGATGATGCTAACTTATTGCAGACGATTTCCAAACTGCTTTTAGGTTGATAAAGGTGTGCGCATCTTGCCTTTCCGATTCTGGCTGGCTGGTTTTCACATCTTCATTCGTTCCAACTGCCTGTGATTGAAACGATGCTATATAATTGAAGGCAGGAAGTGACCTCTTTCAGCCTCTTTCTCCAGTTCATGGTGATTGGTGGTGCTGCTTGTTGTTACTGTTGGTGGTTGTGGTTGGCTGGTTATCTTCATCACCTTCGTCTCCGCCTTCTGTATGTCCATTACCTGGATGAAGTCCTGTCTTCGCTGCCAGCCATCCGCTCCCATGTTATGTCCCACTGATATCCAATTCAGGATACCCAGGAAATTCGCGTTACGGAGCTAGTCGACTGACTATCTGGTCATTAAGTTAAAATCTAAATTGGTCCTACGCTAGTTTAGTAGTTCCTTCAGAAGTAGGCACACACTCGGGTTCGAACCCTGGGCCTTCCATTCAGCCAGTGGCAGGTGATCCAATGACCAGCCCATAAATTCCAACTTCTATGAATTCATGATTTTAGCACTACTAAGCTGTCTGGAGTTCTGGTGATTGGTCGTGACCGGTGAGATCAACTAAGTGGGGGGGTGTAAGGATAAATATCTCAGTGATACTGGCTGGTGGTCAGGTTGCAGTGGGTGAATGGTCTACGAACTCACCAGGTAACCTGAAGGCTTCGGATTCTAACCCCGATGGATGAGTACGGCTGAAAAGTCTCGAACTAGGACGACTGAAATACCTGTCCAGTAATCCTTGCTGGTTTCGCAATGATTCTCTAGCTCGATATTATTCCGTGTCAAAACTAACCCTTGAAATCTAACATTAGACAGGTAATCAAACTCGTGACTGCTCTCATATTCAACACTACTGATACTGTGGTACATCGTTGTTAAGAGCGTGTTATCGTCTTCCATTTCTCTTGAAATTTCAAAAATTTCTCACCTACACTTATGATCAATTAATCACAGAGTTTTTGTTTTAGGTAGTGAGTCTATTTTTCAGACTAAATCCCCTCCACCAAAACAATGAAATTATTTTCAACTAAAATATTTGGCTACTTATAAGTAGGCACACACGGTTCACAAAATTTATCAAACATCAAGATGTCGATATTTTATTAACGGTTTATTATTTCAAACTTTCAGATATTGTCAGAACTGATTGATTCCCTGCAACATCACTTCCAATTTGTCAGTTACCTTATGAGTAAATTTTATTTTGATAGAGTCTCACAGTGTTATACGGAAATATTTACTGATGACGTTTCGAGCACAATTTATTGCTCATAATCATATCAAGGTAATCACACGACTTCCTAAATTCATTTATATAGTTCCATTGTTTTTCACTTGATTTTCACTTGATTTGATTGGTAGTATTATTTTCCATATCTCGGGTATGAGTGATGATTCATTCCTATTGCATGTGTTGGGTGTAGATTCGATGAACAAAGATTCAGTAATCAACCTCTCTCTCCACCTACCTAGATTACTTTTTAGAATGTTAACCCTCTCCCACCCTAGTGTGTGGTTGTGTGTTAATGCATGCATTGCAATTGCCGAGCTTTTTTCTAAATTACTTATCTTCTCTGGGTAAGGTAAGAATGGTTGACCCAGAGAAGATAAGTAATTTAGAAAAAAGCTCGGCAATTGCAATGCATGCATTAACACACAACCACACACTAGGGTGGGAGAGGGTTAAAATTCTAAAAAGTAATCTAGGTAGGTGGAGAGAGAGGTTGATTACTGAATCTTTGTTCATCGAATCTACACCCAACACATGCAATAGGAATGAATCATCACTCATACCCGAGATATGGAAAATAATACTACCAATCAAATCAAGTGAAAATCAAGTGAAAAACAATGGAACTATATAAATGAATTTAGGAAGTCGTGTGATTACCTTGATATGATTATGAGCAATAAATTGTGCTCGAAACGTCATCAGTAAATATTACTGTATAACACTGTGAGACTCTATCAAAATAAAATTTACCCATAATGGAATTACATTCTACCACAATGCCCAAGTTTTATTCTTATATCATTGTCAGTTACCTTTTGTTTTACTGAAAAATTTATCTAACTCTGTGACCACTCTCTGAAATTCCAGTGACTCTTAGTTTTGTTATTATTCAGTTGAATTGAATGTTTTTGTGGTTCAAAGATAAAATGTCCTCCCGCCGCCTCGATTGAGATGCGGATTCAATTCTCAGTTGACGCATTGCAAAACACCGCCTAGATGATGACTACCCTATAAAGTAGGCTTGGAAAAGTGGGGAGGCTGTGTGTAAGTGAGGCTAGCACTCCCAACCCCTGTTTGAAAAATGAACCTCCTCTGGTTTAACTGGAGGTAATAATATCTTCCATATCTCTGGTATTTGCATTGAGTCATTTCTGTTGCATGTGTTGGGTGTGGACTCGGTGAACCAAGCAGGATTCCGTAATCAATATCCCTCTATCTACACCTACCTAGATTACTTTTAGGAATTTTGACTCTGTCCCACCCACACCATTGTGTCGTTGTGTTTTAATGCATGCAGTGCTCAGTTTTTTTCTTAATTACTGATCTTCGTGGGATCAATCATTCTAACACTAGCTAAATTCTCATGTTCTGACGGGCGATCTCACTACCTCCGATCTACTAGTCTGACTGACCTATGTAGGTAGTTGACCTAACTCACAGTCATTGCAAGGTATTTTGTAAATTATATTATTTTGTCTAATTGGATCTACCGGGTCTCTTAGCCTACAGAGATTGTCTCCGAGTGAGTTTGTAGGTTTGAATGCCACCCTAATTCCTGCTTTATTAAGAATTCTACGTATGGTCTCAGATGCCCCTCCCTCCTTCTATG